AGACAATTTATTCTGTAAATACCCATCTGAAAACGAGTATCATGTACTAGAAAATATGAGTAAAATGTTATTAATCCAAGGAGTTTTGTGGAAGAGACTATTTTCATTAAAGAAGCAAGTATGTAATGAAACTCTTTATGTAATCAATTTTAAATGCATTATAACTTTAATATTTTCATATATAAAGTTATTTATTTACAATATAGAAAGCTATGAACAAAGATTGCGACGCAATCATTGTTCATAGTATTAATCTATAAATAAATTTAGAGCTCTAATCTTGCGATTAGAGCTCTAAAATTTTAAATTAAGAGCAGTAATTTTAAAGATTTAAACAGTTTAGAAAAAGAATTTGAGCCTAATTTAACTGCTGTTAAATAGAGCTGCTTAATTTAACTGCCGTTAAATAGAGCTGCTTAATTTAACTGCTGTTAAATAGAGCTGCTTAATTTAACTGCTGTTAAATAGAGCTGCTTAAATTAACTGCTGTTAAATAGAGCTGCTTAATTTATCTGCTGTTAAATAGAGCTGCTTAATTTAACTGCTGTTAAATAGAGCTGCTTAATTTAACTGCTGTTAAATAGAGCTGCTTAATTTAACTGCTGTTAAATAGAGCTGCTTAATTTAACTGCTGTTAAATAGAGCTGCTTAATTTAACTGCTGTTAAATAGAGCTGCTCTAAGCTTAAAGCATCTTTAAAAGATCTTCGTTTAAAGGTATGACTTTCAGTTTATATAAGTTTTTTTTTCCAAAAAAAAACTTAAAACATAAAAAATCAAAAGATTTATTTAACCTTATTACTGTTTTGCTAGGTTTTTTAATGATATCCATATCTGATCTGTTTTAGAGCATAATAAGTTCTTTGTTTCCTTTAAAGTAAAGAAAAGGAGATCGTCATGTTGTGATGAACAATCTAATGATTCTTTGTCATCATCTCCTAAAATGAAGAAAATATTGACCTCTAAATGTAACCCAGGCAAACAAAATCGTATGTTTTCTTTAATCGAAAAAAAATCATTATAATTAAAAATAACCCTTATTGTTAAAATACAAAAAAATGTGTTGAAGGAATTTTTATTATTCAAAAAGTTTATTATTTTCAGAAATGATAAAGAATTCCAGTATATCACATGAAAACTCCGGGAAAAATTTAGACGAATATGAAACAAATAAAAAACGTAATGCAATATATTTCTTAGTTAATATATAAATCCTATTTAAATATTTTTTAATGAAATCATTTCTAGATATCTATATCTTATGTGTTTTAGATAATAGTATTGAAAGCAGTGGAGATAGTAATATTTCAAAAGAGTCTTTTGTTTCCTTTAAAGTAAAGAAAAAGCGATCGTCATGTCGTGATGAAGAATCTAATGATTCCTTGTCCTTATTTCCGAAAATAAAGAAAATATTGACCTCTAAATGTAAACCAGGGAAACAAAACCGTATGCTTTCTTCAATCAAAAAATAAAATCTATATTTATAAAAAATATAATTACAAATAACTCTTTAGGGGTGTCCACTATACAAAAAGTTTTCAAAACCACCCAAAGTGAATTTTTTCCTATTCTAGTGTTTGTGTACAGTGTAAAAAAAAGTTTTACTAAGTTTTAATGACTACTCTAGAACCCCCTCAAAGCCCCTAAAGATAAGCCCCAACTTTCCGTTTAACCCATTAGTGCCTGAGTTTTTTGTTACATTTTACGATTTATAGAGCGTCCCATTTTTGGGGACGCTAGGCACGAATGGGTTAAAGCAGTAGCACATTTTTGCATTGATTACAAATTTTATAAACAAGCAAATTAATATTATGATATTGACAAAATTTAATATGTAATATTGACTGTTACAATTATTTTGCTGTTTCCTGTTTTAGTTAAATAAATTAAAACTGAAATGTTGACAAGAAGTGGTAAAGTTGTAGAAACTGAACTCAAGTCTTTGTCAACCAGTTCCAGTTGTTTTTCAGACACAACCGACCAACCTTCACCGTCGTCATCATCATCAACAACAAGGCCTATTACTCGTGCCTCCACTAAGTGTTGGTTAATTGGACACCCATCACCAAAGGCTGTCGACTCTTTAATATTTTCATAGTTAAGAGTGTAATCGTATGCGCAAGGCATTCTGGGATGTCCTGGTAGTATAGAATTAAGTTTACAACAACAAACTTGGCTGAAACTCTGCAAAGTTTTCTGTTTTATATTGCGTTATTCTTTAATAAATAATACTCTTTGTTGTTCAGAAATGCCTTTAAACTGTGCTGCAACTAACTGCGCAAATACGGCATCAATTATTTTGAAAGTTCAATTTTTATTTAACAAACACTGAGGGAAAATGCCTTCTCCATAATGCCATTTCTACAGTATTTATGTTTTAAATATAGTCTGATTGCATCACATTCAGACGATGTATAAAATAGAAAGACGTAAATGTAGTTCTATCTGTCATGCAATTCATGAAATACTCGGAGCATTGTTTGAATTAGTTATAATTGTCAACTGTTATACTGACTTCTTATTGACCAACCAATTTGTTGATAAAAATGATACTCATTTTAATTTAATAAATTCAAAGAAGTTTCATGCTGATAAACCTGCTATATGTGATGTAACAACAAAGCAAAATAACATAATACTGTTGAGGGTATTTCATCTTCGGATTAAGAAATGAATGTTTTGTATTTTAAAACCTCTACCTCATTAGAGAATAAATGTTACAATAACTAGTATGTTAAAATGGTGTCAGGAGCTTTAAAAAAATAGTTTAGCTTTTAACTCGAAAAAAAGTTGAGCTGTATTTTCACATCTCACTTCAAGCAAAATTATTTAAAAGTTTGATTAGAACTATTTAGAGCAAAGAGGGTTGAAATGAAAGACTTTTGAACAATTTGGATTAGCTTACCTGAATGTTTTGTTGTTGTTGTCATTATAAACTAGCAGCTTTGAAAACAATTGTCTTAAAGAAATAGATTTTAGCGTTGTACTGCATATAAATGCTTTATTTAAACATTTACACTTAAAAAAACTAAATAAACAAGATTGCCTATTTTTTTGCTGACAAAAAAAATCAATTCTTATAAAGAAAACTATTATACAATACATGCAGATTTATCTAGCTTGTTAAAAAAGGAGTCTGACTGTGTCAACAGTGTGTGGTAATACGTTTTGGTAAAGCGATGGATATAAGGCATGGTTTAGAGACCAATATGAAAACAAACAACCAAAATTGGTCACTGAAATCTTTATTTATATCATTGATTTGTTATATTCTATTTAAAATTGTTTATGAAATTTATTGAAAAGTGGCTTCGTACTAAAAACCTAGCTTTTAGATGTTATTTAAAATCATGGAATTCTGTACTTTTAACGTTTTATTTAAAGATTGCTTTTAACATGCTTTTTACTAATAAAAAAAAAGGGTGTATGTTTGTCAGAACAAGAATTTTTTCTATTATTCGGCTGTACATAATCTATGTAAAGGATAGACAATTGACTTATGATCAGAGGATGACGACCAAACTTTTTAGAATGAACAGATATCTTTCTCTTTTCCACACACCAGCTTGGACAAAAGCTAGTATTGGTGCTGATGCACCTATGAATGACATGCAATTCATCCACGAAATGATGGACTACAAAGAAATAGACAAGGAAGTTGCTGATGTCATTCTTTCTAAAATAACAAATCACCGATGGTATTTGACAGAAGAGATAGTTCCATTTGCTTTCTTCAGCAAACATGTTAGTTCCACTGTGAAAAAATATATCGTAGCCAAACTCTTGCAAATTCCAGTACCCGAAAATTTTCGTCTTGGTAAGCCAGTTTTTTGTCAAATCACTCGTCAAACAGGTTTTTCAAATCTTCTGGGACCTGAATGTCACTCATTGTTCGGCATTCTTGGCATCAATACAGATTGGCTTGATAAACCAATTGAACAGTGGACAGAGCAACCAGGATACAAAGAAGCTGAAAAATTTATTCGTAAGGTAAAAGTTGTAAGCAACCCCGCAGAAAGAGGAGTTAAACTGATTTCAGAACTTGCCACAATGATAACCAGTGATCCAGAACAAAGAGAATGGTTGCTGCAGGGCGTTGAAAATCACAGGCAGTAATATCCTGATTTTGGCAAAAAAACTCTTGGACAATGAAACAACATTACATTCTTGATTTTGGAAAAAAAACTCTTGGACAATGAAACATAACATTCAGAAAGACAGTCTTATTTTTAGTTTTGGGGTTCCTGTCTGATACTTCGACTGTAACTGTTAACCAAAAATGCAGAACTAGCTTGGTTAAACTGGATAATTTAACATATATTATGGAAGGTGCTTTTGTTTGGCTTGATTTTTGTGATTTAATTTCTAAATACTTGAAAAATGAGATTCACAATAATTATTTCTCTGTGTTTTAACTAAAAAAGATACTGTTTTAAACAAGAAATCGGGGCTTGCCTTTTAGGGCTCTGAGGGGGCTCTAGAATAGTTATTAAAATTTGATAAAAATTTTTTTTCATCACACACAAAAACTAGAATTGGAAAAAATTCAATTTGGGTGGTTTTGAAAATTTTTTGCATAGTGGATACCCCTATAACTCTTATTGTTAAACACAAAAAAAAAATGTGTTTAAGGAATTTTTATTATTCAAAAAGTTTATTATTTTCAGAAATAATAAAGAATTCTAGTATATCACATGAAAACTCCAGAAAAAGTATAAACGAAGATAAAAAAAAAAAAAAAAGATAATGCAATATGGTACTTAGTTTTCTTTTTTATATATAAATGTTATTTAAATAATTGATTCAACTTTTCACTTTATTAAGAAAATGACATTATAGAAGCTTTATGTTTAAACCACACCAGTGTTGAAATGGACTTTGTTATAACAATTATTCATTTAGAACATTGAAAAAAAAATGACAATAATAATGTAATAATTAATAACGATTTATTCATTTAAAATAAACGGTGGTTTTTCTTTACTACTGAGAAAATTTATATTTTCATGACAGCTAAAGGTGCTCCTGCATCAAAAGCTAATCTGGAATCTGCCAGGAGAAGTATCGAATATCATATTAAAGAGGAAGCGAAAATCACAAGAACGTTGTTTAGTCTTCACAATAACACAGTTGATATTGAAAAAATAATAACCGAACAGACAATTAACAAATTACCATTCAACCATGTAGAAAGCTTCCTTGATTTTGATAATAAATTGAAGACTGATGAAGTAGTGATGCAAAAACTGGTAAATAGTTTAATACTAATTCAAAAAATGCTAGAAATATTAGTCTCAAGTCTGCTACGAAATATTGTTTTATTAAAAATTATTTTTGTTATAATTAATATTATATTTAGTTATTTTGTATATAAATTTTAAATATAGATTAAAATTTTCTTTCTTTTAGAAATGCTTTATAATGTTAAATGTCAAAAGTACATTGAAACTTTCAGAAAATTTTCTTTAATAATTCCTAAGATTATTTTACCAAATATTCAAGTGCTCTACAGTGCTTTTGGGCGAGAATCAAACGGTGTAAAAAGATTAAACTTCTCTGTCACAGAAACTTACAAATATTTGCTAGGTATATTGTCTTATTTTTAACTTTAGCAAACACGAATAAAATATTATTTATATGTAACCTCTTTTATATGTAATATGTAATCTACATATTACATAATTTATATGTAGTATGTAATTTCATACTAAATAACGAAATACACAGTTTAGATCTTTATTTTAAAAGTAGTTACAATGAAATTTCCTGACATAAATGAAAAAAAAAAATTTCAAGTCAAATAAGTCGCGAGTTTTCAGGTGCAAAAAATGGAGATGGTGGAAAGAAAGTGGTGATTTTAAGACTCTAATAACAGGTTTTGAGCGACAGCGCCAAAACCTGATAGTGTGCTGATAGATATGATGCTAATAGAGCAATTTTTCAAGAAAGTACTATTTAATATCAGCTGCTAACATTGGTTAAAAACTATAGTTCTTACTGGCACAGTACTGCGCCTGTTGTGAACTTTTGATTAGGCAGTAATATGCCATTTGCAGATGCCAGAAATGGTTAAGTACTGGACATCCAGTACTGGTAGCGTTATCATCCCAGATAAATGCCAGTGTCGAACCAGTACTGGCTGCCAGTATTGCGCCAGTATTAGACAGTACTGGCGCAGTGCTGCGCCTGTTGTGAATTTTCGCTTGGGTATTGATAATATTGGTATCGTTTGGTATCGTTTGGTCTCGATGCGATACTTTACAGTATCGACTTTGAGATCAAGCGATACTGGTATCGAAAGTATTGGTTATGTTGGTTTTGTTTGGTATCGCTGCGATACCGTGCAGTATCGATATCGAAATCAGGCGATACTGGTATCGAAAGTATCGTTTACGTTGGTATTGTTTGATCTCGGTGCAATACCTTACGGTATCGATATCGATTCTAGTACCAAAAATTATCGGTTATGTTGGTATTGTTTGGTACCGATCGTATCAACTAGTATTTCAACTCGGGTCATCATGAGAACTTTCATGTTATTTTTATAAACGATTAGTAATTAGAAATAGTATATTCGTATAACTAATGAGATACGTAATGGCTCATTTATTATAAAAAAAGTTCTGGGAGCTAGTTGTATGACATCATGTTTATCATGTAATTTCTCATCTGGTATCTTTGTTTTAATTTAAATAATTGTGTGGTGCCACTTTATTTTAATTTCTCATCTGTTATCCTTTTTAAAATTTTTTCCACCGTGATTAAATAGAAAGAAAAGATTTTCTTAAAATTTATTCCTATATTAAATTTTTAAAAATAATTAAATTATGTTAAACAGTGTGTAAGGGGTGAACATAAAGGTAAGGGAGGGTGGGTGTTATTCGGGGTAACTACCCCCTTACCCTACTTGAGAAATGTCAAACTTCAAAATATTGTTCATAAAATTAAAAAAATAAGAAAAAATTTATATAACCATTCAATATATTTATTATTACTATTTATTATATCTTATAACCTTTCTAAAATCATTCTAAATATCAAATGAAACAGTTCTTTTTTAAAAAAAAACGCGAACCTTGTTTTTTATATATTTTTTTGGTCCGACTTCCCACATAAAACAATGACCTGGATCAGCTCCTAGTAGTGGGAGTTGGAATAACGATATGTGTAGTTTCCCATATCGTTATTCCAACTCTATCAAACTTTTATTCCATTTAAGCAAAAATGTTCTGTGCGGAATTAATCTCCAAGGGAATAGTTTTGCAATCATTAAAGAGTGTTTTTCATATAATTCTCCAAAGAAAATTGCTTCTGATGCATTGGTTAATAATTATTCTAAACAAGTATTAGAAATGGTTGTTAAAGGTTTTGTAACTATCATTAAAGAGAGCTTTTCATATAACTCTCCAAAGGAAAATTTTTGTGATGCAATCGTTAATAATTTTTCTAAACGTTTATTAGAAATGATTGTTCAAAAGAATTGATTTCGTAACAGTCATTACAGTTATTTTAGTTTTACAGTAATTGTGTGATATCGCTATTATATTTTTATTTCTTTTCTGGTATCGTTACTTTATTAAATCTCTCGTGGTATCGTAATTCTTGCCTGGTCTTTGTTCTGTGTTCAACATTCAATAATTAAACTTTAGTTTAAACAATTAAACATAAGTATACTTTATTTATTAAAAAAAACTAATCTTCACTCGTTATGCCTTTAACAACATCTTTAATCTGGGAATGTTTCAAGAAAAATATAGATAAGCACTACTTACTAAGTATTTTTTATACTTTATCTCAAAAGGTAATTGCCGGCAATGTCAGGAAATAATTCTAAAATTAACTACCTTCAGAATTATAATTAGATATAATACCGAGCGGATAAAGTTACGTCATATATGCACGGAGTTTTTTACGTCATATATGCACGGAGTTTAAAGGGTCTTTTTTGGTAACAATATTTCTGAAATTATTTAACTCCTTTGACATTTTTTAGAGGTAAAAATACAGTAAATGCCCACAAAAACTTAATTTTGCCTCAGGCCCCAAATGAGTTTGAAGCGTCCCGGCTCTGTTGTTATTAATAAAAATAAAATAAAATTATAATAAAAAAAATAAAATTATTTTATTTGTTATTAAACTGTATTTTATATTTTCAGAAGAATCTGCTCTTTGTAAAACTTCAAGCAAGCAAATACTAATGGCTTGCGAAAGCATATTCAAACACAACATAGGAAGTTATTCATCGAACTTCAAAAAAAAACAGATGAGCGGAGATCACAAGGAGATGAAAAACTGAACGTAAACGAGGCAGGTGCTTCTGGATCCGCAAAAGATGTAGCCTTTAAAACTCACCCGAAGAAGAAGGTTACAAAAAAGTGACTTCAAGATCGGCGTCAATTCGTATCTGATCATGACATTGATTCAGTTTTGCTGATTCTGAAAATTTTAAAAGGTTTATGAACAAAATATTACCCAATGCTACAATAAAACATTTAACGATTTTCTCAAAAAAGAAACTCCCTCAGTTTTACACATACACTGAAGGTAGTAATGCATGAAGTTATGGAATAAGAGCTCATAGATTTTAATCAGATTGCCATAACCACCGGCCACTGGACATCAAGGGCAAAGGATTCATGCAAATCCGTGACATTACATTATATCTCGTCAGACTTTGCCCTAAAGAAATTTACATCAGAAGTGTGCTTATTCAAAGAGCGATACACTGTATTAACATTGCAAAAGCACTTAATAACACATTCTCATGCCCTGAATCATTAAAAAAATACCCAACAAGCTGTGTGTTATTGATCAGGCATCAATTGTGCTCTAAACAACAGTGTGTCCTTAGTGACTAAATAAGAAGGCTCTGTTACATAAAATAATCACAAACTCAACACTGCATTTCAAAGAGCAGTTGAGAATACCCCGGAACTGAAAGATCCCTTTCATAAAATTACTACCAGGCTTCATAAATTAACAGCCTTCAGTGCTTCGTTGAAAGATGTTTGTTCCAGGTTAGATATGAGTTACCATAAAATACCCTCCACAGTTACCGCGAGATGGAACAGCCATTACGATATGGTACGCCATGCTTAGACTGAAGGTTCCACTCATATACTTGCGCGATACAGAAGGTGATGATTGGAAGAAAACCGTACCTACAGATGAACAGTTCCTACTCTTTGAAGCTATTGTTCCAGTGCTTAAATCTGTTAAAGAATTATTAGTTTTTTGATCTTCTGACACAGAGATCCGAATTGACATGTCACTGTGGAAAATAACAGCACTCATCAACTTCATTGAGAAAAAAAAAAAAAATTATGTAACTAATGGAAACAACAAATTAGTAGAAAAATTCTGGGAGGACTTATTATCAGAACTAAATAAGAGATTTCCAGACAAAGGCCGTAAGTTACACGCATTTGCACTAAGACATTACCTTCATCCATTTTTCCGTGTACACCTTCTTGATGTTGATGATGAAAATATTCAAAAATGGGTTGAAACCATCCCACAACCAAAGAATACTTTGAGAATTCTTCATTGTCTGTCTCGAGCTCGAGTAATAACAACGGTAGTAACAATTCCGTTGCTTATAATGCACAAGGTTAGGAGGAAAATGAATACAATATAATTTTAGTATAAGGAAGATACTAGTTTACATTATATACATAAAAACCTCCTATTAAACTAGAAATGGAAAAATGCCAAAAAACAATTAGATCCAAATATGCAGGTAAAATTGACACCTTAGCATGGCAACTCCACCAACCTCTGTATTATCTGAAAAAGCATTTTCTGCTTCTGGCCTTGTCACCACTGATTGTAGCTTGTATTTATAATGCAGAACTATTCCGCTCTTAAAAATTACTTAAAAAAATGGCCCATCATTATGTTTTTAGAATCTCGATTCGAGACCATGCGATACTATACGATTCTTTTTATTATCGGTATCGTTTGGTATAGAAGCGATACTGATAGCCTCGACATTGAAACATAAACGATACCACACGATACGAGACCATCCTTCTCGGTATCGAGTGATATCGAAGCGATACTGACTAGTATATAAGCGATACCACACGATACGAGACCATTCTTTTCGGTATCGACTTATACGATACCGATTATCTTGTATCTAATATATATATATATATATATATATATATATATATATATATATATATATATATATATATATATATATATATATATATATATATATATATATATATATATACATATATATTAATTTTAACTTGAACAAAACTAAAAAAAAAGCAACAAAAAACAACAACAACAACAACAAAAAATCCAGCCCCGGCGAGTAACCCCTACAAATTGTGTTTGTTTAGCCGAAGCCGGTTTTGCAAAAACCGCTGTTTATAGCCGAGGTATGTATATATATATATATATATATATATATATATATATATATATATATATATATATATATATATATATATATATATATATATATATATATATATATATATATATATATATATATATATATATATATATATATATATATATATATATATATATATATATATATATATATATATATATATATATATATATATATATATATATGTATATATATATATATATATATATATATATAT